TCGCTAATACATTTATCATTTGTCTCGATGATTATTTATACACATGATTATGTCCATCGACATTCATCTGCTCTAATTAATAGTTTTCTATTGCTTCAATTTTGCTAACATCAAGTTTTTTTCTGAATTAGATATGTTATTTAAAACTTAAATTAAATGAATTGCATAACGCGTCTATACCAAAACAAGTTGAGCGGAAGTTATACGATATGACAGCTTTTAATTTAACACTCGATTCAGACGCGTAATCTCTTTTAATCGCTTTTACTATTAACAGAGGTATAATTGCGATTTTCTATCGCAAATCACTTGGACATTTACTGCTTTGCACGCTCTCTCACATGATGCCATCGTGTTCTCTTCCGCGAAATCCCGCTCGAAATGCCTGGTTCTCGTTCGTATAAATTTGTTTACTCTAAATTATGGCTCTAATAGATGCAGTCGCGTGTCTCTCGATCATTTCTTCTTCGATGCATCGAACAAAGAAAGCGCATTATCTCCGAACGGAGGCGATTGGCCTCATCAGCTGTTTCCCTCGCGTGATAACCGGCAATTCCGAGCGACGTTGTATCGATCAGCGCCGATTTGTTAGCGCGGATTATCTGCCAATGAATTTGAAATCTTGTCCGTTTTGACAGCCACGAGGAATTAGAAACCCTGTCTGAACAAAGCGAAAGTACGGCGGCGGCGGATTCGCGACGGTAGCTAAACGCAATTTGCATAAATAATATCCACTGATCTATCAGCGATAATTGCGTCCCGCTTATTACCTTGAAAGACGTGAATTTTCCTTAATTATAATTATTATCGGCGATTAACGTATAATTGTTAGGGTCGCTACACGATAATAACCTCGTGTTACATTCTTTCTTCCTCTGTCTCTATCACGCTGAATAAATATAATTATGCAGGCGGAAGAACGACGCCATTTATTATCGTGAAAAATCAAGGAAAACATCGGCACTATTTTTACAACTAACTCGTATCATCACTGTGTTGTATCTTTGTAATAAAATGGATATATGATCGAACGTGATTTATGGTTTGATAAAATAATAATAATGTACTAACTGTACTTGCCCTAACGGAAGTTTCTATCTCGAGAAATAAAATGATACAGACTTCCGTTAATTCAGGGATAGGGGAGCGATATTTTATATTGTAATCAACTAGGCAGAAAGGGTACATTAATTGTTATTTTAGATATCGCGTATGATGATGTATATTACTTTTTTATCGGAACAGAATCATGTACATAAAACTCCGGTGACAATTTGATTTGTTCGATTAATACAATTTTTACAAAATCAACTAATTGATAATATTAATGATAAATTTGAATAAAATATATAATTCAATAAAAATAAATGTATAAAACTTAGAAGTATTAAAAGTAAGAATTATGATACTCTATTTATTTCTGATATTCTAAAGATAAGTTTCTAATTATCTCAAACATTCCAAGTGATGAAACTAAAGAGAGGCTAAGAAATATCGACAAATAAATCTCTCTGCAACATTTATACGGCGCGTATATCATTTTATTGGATCCAAAGAGCATTATTACGTAAATACTTGGCCATTAATTCGAAGATAAGAGCGCGATGAAGATTTACGTATTTATTCAAATAACTTCTCATCTTCGCAGTCTTCTGCAGAAGCAGGCGATAAAGCAGAGAAAGAAAGCAGAGGAGGGAAGAAGTCCTGCGTATGCGTTTTTTTTTTTACGGACCCGTCGGAATGATCGACGAGTTCTTCGGAGAACCGTCGTCGATAAATCACCGATAATCGCGGTTTTTTTCTCGCAGGCGCATCTTAAGCGCGGCTGTCTTCGTTTTCACTGTTGCGTCGACACAGACAAGAGGGTTTTTGATGGTGCTGATATATTAGGTTCATTGTCTCGCGAAATGCACGCGCTCATCGACGTCATTAACTGCGTAATTAACACCCTCCCTTCCCCCTCCCCTCGACTCCCCATTCCTCCGCGTAATGAGTCCGAGCGTGAAAATTTGCATGCGAATCTCGCTAAGGCTGCCGACATACCGCAAATCGCATTCGCCAAGTTATTCTTCCCTCCGAGCTATTCATACACATACGAATACAGTGTCGTGTGAATGCACCTGGCAAGCTAAACTGGGTCGCGTGTCGCGCCAATCATCGTCATTTCGCAAATATAAGAATAATGTCCGATTGTACTTTCGATGGGGAATGCCGATAACGGGCCGATTGTCATTCAGTTATGCGAAAAAAGCGATATTAGTTATTGATTGTCGATTGAATACAGTCTACGGTAGAATAATTCCGGAATAGATAGCCATACGAGGAGAGGTAGGTAGCCAGTCATTGCGGATTCCCCGGTAATTGCCGCGGCGATATGCATGAGTAGTTAGTATAACGTCATGACGATTGATTGGAATTGTTCCTCGTTTAACAACGCTTTAGTGAATGTTTTATTACGTTCTTTGTTCAGGATATCTGTCTCTACCTCAAAAATCAATGATCACGTACTTTGGAATTAAGCTTTTCAAACAATCTAAAGAATTTATACAGGAAATAGCAACAATTATACAATTATCAAATATATAATTTTATATATTTTTTATTATACATTTTTTTATCAAATATATAATCAAATATATAAATATATAATTATATAATCAAATATATAATTCCAATCAATTAAATATATAAATAATTATCAATGTTAAAAATTTCTTCAAGTTTTATACGTGTTACATTATTCTTTACATGTATGTATTTTACGTGTAATATTTTAATTACGTAATACTAGGAGCAAAAATTAATAATTTGATAATATTGAAACATAAATAGTTATTGACTCACAAATAATTAAAATGATAATTAAAAAATTTTGTGACTTAAGAGATGCTTCAGAAATGCAAACAAGTAAAACGATCTTATATTTCAATTAATTTTAAGTGGAATTTTTATTTTATCAAAGTCTGAATCTCCTTCGTATCGTATAACTTTTGCCAGCAATTTCAGAAATCGCGTCCGTGATACAACTTATTTCATTTGCATGTTGCAAACCGGTCCTCGCGCGTTTTGCGTGGCATTCGCGAAAGATATGTTTTCATTGGAACAAACATGGTCCATCGTCACTTCTCGTATTCACGGTGAATATCAATCGATCGTATCTTCGGGCACATTTAACCTGCCTAAGCACACAGGCGTTTTATCGGTTTAAGGTCGCGGACGGCGCAATCGCGTCGTCTCGATTTCGCGATCAATTTACTTAATAAAAGCGGGGACGTGCGATAAAGTCGAGCTGTCGCGGGAGGCTGTGCTCGAACCTGCAATTAGCATTCGCGGTGAAATAATCTTATAATCGCTTAATAAGCGTCTGTGTGCAAATAGCGGCCGCTAATTGGATACGTGCAGCGGTGGTGTCGCGTGGCCGACGATTAGCGCGAAGTGCATAGAAGAGCTTCCCAATATGATGATCGTCGTTGTCACGATACTCTCCGGGGAAACTTACCGTAACCGGTTTAACGACCGCCAGTAAACGTTCGCAGGTGTAAACGACAAACTTCTTCCGCGCGTTTCGCGGAGAATCGCTTATTTTAATAATGCGTGAGTGGTGTCAGCGTTATTGAAATCTATGATTACGCCGTTCTCCAGAAGATGAAAAGAAGAGAGAGAGAGAGAGAGAGAAGGAGAAAGAGAAAAGGCGAACTAATCAGCGTTGAGATTTACGCTTGATTAAATTTTCCTCGAGAACTTTGCATAAGTGAATGCGCGCCTTGACGAGAGAGACGCCGCTCATACTCGCTTACTTTCGATTATTTCTGCGCCGTCATGAATGAGACGTCCGGTATTCGCGCCTCGCTACTCGCGGTAGTAACGCTATTTAAAACTGCCGACGTGAGATACATATTATTCGACGCGTTAGTCTCGGAGGTAGAAAGTGCTTCGTCGAGAGCGCGAGATGCATCGCGATGCATACGCTCGAGGAGATGAGAACGTACGCGCGCATTTTGCCGTTTAGCTTCGCCAGTCCCCCTGGCAGGAGGTGATGAGGGTTAAAAGGTGGAATTAGAGGGGGCCTTTCAAGCAAAGGTCAAGCTCGCGGGCCGGCACAGTCCGAGTTTGGTTTCCTTGCATGCGTACACGTGCGTCACGTATATACATACGTGTTCGTATCGTGCCACCGATATACACGCGCGTTTCGCATCGCGATTAATCGATAAATGAGCTTGCTTTCGGTAGCGAGGGCGCATCTTGGATCGATCTTGTGAAACGGAGATTAATCGAGAAACGATTAATGGATCGATGAAGCAAATTATTCACTGCAGAGATATGTATGTTTTTCTTTAATAGTAGCGTAACATGTATGTTTGCCTAATAAAAGAAATGAAAATTTGAATTGATATATCAAAATTAAGTAATATTGCTTAATATCTTAATATTTAATATTTAATTGTAGAGATATGTTGTAGAAATGGATTTTATGAAACCAGACTTTTTAAATTTTTAATATTCAGTTTTTTATATAATAGAAAGACTGAGCTTTTTGTAAGAAGATTAAAGTTAAAAGACCTGCAAGTATATTAAATAATTAGTAATTTGCTCCAACAATAATTTAAATTAAAGCAGAGTTGTAAAAAAAAAAAATAAAAAATAAACTTCTTTTTTCGAGTCTCATTTTATGTTTGATATACAATATACACTTTTGCAATTTGAATAAAATAACAGAAACGCTATTGACAACAATTACCCAAATCATGAATTAAAACGTTTGATTAAATTAAATAATTAAAAATGCTCTGTTAGTCATTAGTTGTCAGTTTATTACAAGGGAGAATTTCTCGATCTTTTTATTAACAGACATCCGTCCATCAATTTTATGAACATCACGGTTAAATTACTTATTGTTGTATGTGTGTATGCGTATGTTGAATTTAATTGTCAAATTAAAATTCAATATCCTCGTTAACAAAGATGCAGGTGTAGTGAAATTCTTTATATTCTTGTTTCAGGAACCAAAAAGCGAGTCGACGAAGTAGCATTGCCGAGGACTATTCACGACTTACCGGAGCGCGTTCTCACGTGTGGCCTGTCACTTCCCGGTAAGTTATAAAACACAAAATTCTTTTTAAGAAATATGAGAAGTAATGCAATAAAAATAATCTCATTTGACAATAAGAAAAATCGTAATATAAATCGTTGAAACTCTCGTCAAGACAAAGAAATAATTAATTTAAAATTATAATCTCCATTTTTTTACGATAAATCTTATTTGTCAAATATTTATTTGAGATGCCCGTAAGTGTGAAAGAAATATAAGATAGAATTACACAATAAAAATAACCATAATTTAACAATTAAAAACGATCGTAATATAAATCATCGAAACTCTTGTCGAGAAAACGAAACACACAATTCAAAATCATCTTCAATTGTTTATAAGATAAATCTTAATACATAAATCATAAGTTGTCAAATATTTATCCGAGATCTACACATTCACACGCAAGTGAAAGTCGCTGATTTAAAAGAGATATATCGTTTAAGAGTGAAATAACGCTCGGAGATTGTCATCTTCGAACGCTTTCGGTGCGATGGTCGGCTGACGCTTTTGTCGTAAGCCTTTGTCTCGCGTTACCGTGCTCCACATAGGGACACGCAACGGCAGAAACACGCGACCCTGGCGTTGCGTCGCGGAAGATAACAACGCGCGGTGACCGCGTAGGAGTATGCGGAAGCTGGGACACACCCACCACGTAGGGCTCTTAAGCTCGGTCGATTCACACGCCCCCGCATCTTCTGCCCGTTCCGTGCATCTATTTACGTACTTGGTCGGATACCCTCTTCTTCCTAGAGAGCAGATCCTCCCCCTCCTCTCCTCTCCGCCGCGATTCCGCCTTCTCGAGTACCGCCATTCTCTCTCGACCGTTCTCCTTGCCTTTCGTCCCGCTTTGTCCCTTTCTCTCCCTTTCCGCGAGGCTCAGCTGGCCAGATCCGCGGATGTCTAACTGTATTCCCGTAGTTGGCGCAGTTGTTACTCTCTGTCGTCGATTAGCGCACGGCAGGAAGAAGGTAGTCGTTGGACGGTACTTGAGGAGTCTGACCGAAGATTAACCCGCGAGCGTTCGCGTCACGAAACACACGCTTTGTGTATGTACGTGTTTGAAATTACCATAGAAAATATATAATGATCGTCTGGGACGTTTTAAATAGGCGTGTATATTTTAGAAAGCTGAAAATTCAGCGAGACAAAAAGAATTTTTCGCAGGGGAGGATACTCGTATATAGAATATAAATAGCGTTTCTTTGAATTGAAATTTTATGGGCAGCGCGATAAATTACAAGATCTATCTGCTACTGTCGAACAAATAATATGTCCGAGTATTGTTTTATTTTAGCAGCACAACGGTTATCGTAACATTATCTCGTAATAATAGGCCCAAGAGAGAGGTGATATCAATCTACAAAGATCGATTAAAGGCAATATTTGCGATACTACGAGGAAGGAAATCACTTTATCGAACTTTACTTTGGATCGAGAATAAATCAGCCTCTTTTTTCGGCGTTTTCGACATCGACGTTGTTCGTGTAACAGTCACCTCTTACGAGACGGCGTTCTGCAACGGTAACCGGGTGAAAGGGAAAAGCGCACTCTCGGCCGCTTTAATTACAACCGAGTGTGGGATATGCGCGACTCTTTTGTGTCTCGATTAAAGGAGAGACCCCTCGCAGCAACATTAACGTTAACTATCCATTTATTCGAACATGAGCTACATGCTCAATTCACACGCCTTCGTGTTCTCGTGCATTCGTCCATTTATACGGCTTTCCTCGTGAAAGGGCCAACGGTCCCTTCTTCCTCTCTTTTTCCTTATCCCTCTTTCGCTCTCCATCTTCCAAATGCTCCTCTCTACATCTCATACATGTACCGTACACTCTTCCGTATACTATCTCATACACTCTTCCCGCTACCTTTTCCTATCTCCCGGTATCGCCTCACAATGTTCGTGCTCCCTTCGAGCTTCGTGCTCTACCTCGTCCCCTTCTTCCGCTCATCCTCGTGGCTCGCTCAGCTGGCCGGATCCACGGATGTCTAACTGTATCCCGTAGTTGGCGAAGCCGCTGCTTTGTCGCCGATTAACTGACCGGTATATGGGCAGGAAGTCGATGGGCGAGGAACCAATGGGTTGAACGATGAAAATAAACGATAAAAAAGTGCATCATGCCGCGAGTTGTCAATTTTAATTAATAAAGTGTAGGCGGTCTTTTTTTTTTTATCGAGGAGCTAATCGCTTTCCATAAGTAAAAGTTCAATTTACACAGTTTTCACCTCTGGTTCTCGATCTCTCGCGAGAATGAAACTAAATGCAATGAATGAATCAAGGCGTTTAAAAGACAGAAAAGCGATTTATTTAAAACAGCACAATTTAATGTGACTTTAAAAAATATATTAGTGGAATTAATTTATAAATTATTACGCAACACTTCAAATCAATATGTAATATTCTCTAAAAAAATTTTATAATCTAAGTAATTTAAATAATCTTATATATTTAAATAATTTTATATTTTTTTAAAAATAATATATTCGTATTTTCTGTTTTTTTTCTGAAAGTCATTTATACGATTCAATTTTTTTCATTGCGTGCAATTTACCGCAAATTCGTTTCAAGACATATTCATACGGTAGCATCGATGACTATACCTTGACTCGACCCACGTATCCTCATACATTCCTACCAGTATCTATTTATATTGTCTTTCTTTCCTGGTAGTAGTTCCTCGCGTGTCTCGTTAAGTTCCTCCTGCTCCTCTTTCTTCATCCATCGATTCTGCCTTGAACAGCTCGATGCTCGCGGTGCTCTCCTCATCTGGTCGTGTTCACTTCCTTCATTCCGCAGCTTGATTGCAACAAAGCGCAACGTTGTTTTAGTTTCGTGGGATCTTGTTGGAGCTGCCTCGCGGCTAAGTTTCCAACCCGTCTCGAGTAATCTTGGCGAGATTTTCCGACCGTTTCACGTCACTTAGCTTTTACACTTTAATGTCTACAGACTTGCATTGCATGTGCGATTCCTCCCTAATGTCGGTATGATACGCGATGAGAACGTAGGATTTCACGAGAAAGTCCATTGATAATCCGTCACAAGTGCACTGTCTGTTCAAGAAATGTAAATTCGGTCTTTTAGGTAATCATCTGTTGTGCAAACTATGGAGAAATGCACAGGACGCGAAGATTTTATGCGCATGAGTCAGGCTATTTATTCTCGAAATAATGCACGTAAGGACCCGGTAAATCATTGAATACATATGAAAATCGATGACAGTTGGAAGTTACATGTTAAGATAAAAGTAATGGAAATTTTTGTAATTTTGAAAATTATTTTCTCCTCGAAAATTATATAAAATTACAAGACTTGTAATATTAAGAACAATATGTGGTTAAGAAATATATTACACTGAGAAAAAATCTGGTTGCATTAATTAGAATTCTGGTAGATTCAACCAGTATGTCTGTTGGAAAATGGACGAACCAGAATTCTTGTAGGAATTACCAGATGAATCTGATTAATTTCTTCCTGTTAAATTTACCAAACTTTCTGGTTAATAGTACTAAACTCGCCAGCACTAAGTCGTTTAAAATTTTTTCCATCTAATCTCAAAAGTCTGTTTAATATTCTGAATTCCAAAAAAATTATTGGATAAATTCAATCCAGATTATTGAATAAATTATTTTAAATTTAGTTTGTTAGAAATTAAACTGATAAACAGTGATGCAAGAAGAGGGTGCAGCTCAAACACCCACAATCAGAGAGCTAGCGTCCTCTTTCTGGCACTGTTCGTAAGAAAAAAAAATATACTTTGGATTTAATGTTAATACTAGTTATGTTAATACTAGTTCTTTATATACATTTCGTAACAAATATTGAATACAATATTGTTGGTACAATCAAACGATTTTTCTCAGTGTAAAATCGATTTAGTCGTTAATTAATTTATTTTTTAAATCGTTAATTTATTTATTTTTTGCTGCAAACAAATTATTTTGCGAATTCACATATTAGTATAAAATATAAAGTATAAAATATAAAAAAATTCGCGTTGAAAATTGCACGAGTATCCACCTTTTTTTAAAGGCATTGTCTAGTATTACAAGTCTCTTAGTGTATGATATGGATCTCCTCGATCCGTCATCCGAGCATGCTTCTGCTTCCTCGTCATTGATTCTCGGCGTTCTTGAAGAGAGCAATTGGAGATCCCCTCGTTATATCCCCTTCTTTCTCCCTGTCGTTTTCTTTCCTCTTTCCATGGATTCCCAGCTGGGGAGATCACCGAGTACCTAACTGTAATCCCGTAGTTGGCGAAGCTGCCGCTTTGTCGCCGATTAGCTGGCTGACGTTGCACCGCGCGGTCGCCTAAAAGAGGCGGGACGAGCAGGAAGAGGAAGCGCAGGAGATGCTGCATCGAGTCGCGCTTACGCCCGCCGGGCAAAGAAGTGCAAATACGACAAACGACCGCGGCCGAAGTTCAAGAGAGAGTCGGGGATTGGAGAGCATTAACGAGTCCCCGAGTGCGATGACGTCCTCTTTGGCGGCGTTCTGTTTTCTTATCGCCGTTTTTGTCGCAGCTGCGGGGATTTTCACAGAAGCGAGAATCGCGTGCGTGATAAATTTCGCGATCGCGATCTCTAATTCGCCGTCGCGTGTGATTAAGTCGAATCGATGTGCGAGATGGTTCGAATTACCAAGCTCGTTGGCACGGACATTCGTCGAGGCTCAATTAGGCGTGCTCGCATAAATTATCGGAAAATGTTACCACGTCGGGAGAAATCGCTTCGGTTGGATTTATGTCAGGAATCATAGATTTATAAGGTAGCTCACCGCATGACGCGTACACGGTCGCAACCGATGAATGGAGCTTGTAATAGAATCTTCGAGAGAGGCGGTGAGAAATTATATAGGGTGTTTCGCGAGCCTACACTGAATTTCAAAAGCATTTTTCGATAGATTTGAAATCATTTTCTTGCCCGAAAATTCAAAACAAAATTCGACCCAAGAAGATTTAACGTTCAAACATAAGCAATTGAGTTTCAAAAAAAAGCTAA